CAGACTTGATTATTTACAGACCGCCACCATATAGCTCGAATACTGCGGCATTAAACAACAACCAAACAAAACAAAACCTAAAATAGTTTTGCCCTATGGGTATATTTGTCTCTGTGGATAAATTGAAGTATTTGCGGCCTATCACAAGTGTATGTGACAGGATACACTACCCTTGCAGGGTCAAATCCTGCATGTCTCCAGCGGCCGGTATTCAATTTAAGGTTGTCCTATTTCCTTGTGACAAGCAAACTGTAGTTGCTTATGGATAAAGCTGAAAGAACGCAATAAATCATGTAAACACTAGTCGTGTAATTCTTTTAACGAGACATGATGCTCCATTGTTAATTGTATATGTCACTAGAAGAGGCAATCCATGTCCATGTTTGTTTGTTAAGCACGATGTACTTTAAGGGTTTTGATTTATGTCCATTTTTTTTGTCAAAATGAGTTTGTGCTTATTTATCAAACCGCTAAAGCAATGAAAGTCACTCAACTCTAAGTGTTCGTTTTTATGAGCATTTGTTCAAGTACTGTAGTCGCTGTTTCAAGCCTCCTGATTCAGTAAATGCCCACTGTTACATTTTCTTCATTCTCTTCCACAGAGGTTACTTGTCATATCTTCCTACGAACCTCTGTTCTAATATGGCCCTTTCATGGTGCGAGTGTTCAGGATTCGTATTGGTTTGCAATCACATATAGTTATGCAATCAGCGACATTGTTTCAAAAGTGATCATTCGCAAGGCCTTGGTAGTTTCCGTATGCTTCTGGAAAACTAGAACCTCTTCCCGCGATGAGCAAAGGTTTCTGTAAAAGACAGAACTCAGTCATGTAAATGGCGTCTCCATTGCCCTCGTTGACAACGGACAAGCTAGCCATTAAATGTCACATCAACACAAGTCCCCGGCTGAGGAGGGATATTGGTGGCCCCACATTTGCTTGTATTAGTCAAGGTGGATCTAAGTCGATGTAACATGTGCTCTGTTTAGATAGAATCACGATTAATGCTTTTCTGCGTTTTTCTGCACAGTGGGAAAGTTTTCTTTAGTAGGCCTGGAATGGCATAGCGCTATGATGGTGTTGTGGATAGTCTCTGGAGGTCAGGCTCACTGATACTGGTTGTTGTGTATGATCTTATCCAAATCGCGTAGATTGATGGCGTGACGTCATTCACTGGATTGTCTGATCCAGCGTCGATTACAGACTGCTGTCAAATAGTTTGAATATTGTAGAGTATGGCATTTAACAACAAACAAACAATCAATCATCTCCCATTGACCAAAGACATGAATAAACCAAGCCTGTCACCACTCTTCTCAGTTTGACATTTACACAGACATAATATGTTTTCGTAGATTGCTGCGTACACGAAATATTTCCCCTCGTTGTAACTTCAGTTGTCATAATGTATGGAGATGTTGTGTCAGACAGTTCCTGTGAGAGCCAAGTAGTGTTGCCTTACCTAATGCCTTGTATTGGAGTCACAGCACAAGCCATTTCATATGTAATGTCACCTGCAAATGTCCTTGCTGTGAATGACAGGGGATATACTATTTCCCTGCAAAATGTCAAGAAGAGTATCACAGTCATCTATTGCAGTGATCATTTTACAAAGGTCAAAGCACAATCACATTCAGGCTATCGTATACTATTTGTGCTGGATAGTCTTTCAGTTATTGCTCTTTGTGTTTTGTGCTAGAGCTCATATTTTCTCTGTGCGAGTAGTAAAGGAAGAAGTAAGATTCAAGGATGTTTCCCAAAAATATTTTTGGCTTCATGTTGAGCGATATTCTAGCAGCTCTGCCTTTATAGTCTGTTTGCAGTGAAAACGTACAGGTGAATTTCACTTTAAACAAAAATGTAAATCGAATAAAGTGAATTTAAGATTGCGAATCCTCATAATTCTACCTTGCCAATTGAAAATTTAAGTCTTAGATTTTTATTCTACGTCATGTTTCAAATCGCTTATATTGGTTTGTATTACAAGGGGGTAAGCGTAGTAGTTGGAACAGTGAAACAAATGCATGTGCAGTACGTGATGAGTGTTAACTTAGACCAACTCTCCTTGTTCTTGGGGTTTGATTTAATGTGCATACCATACCCCCTTATAATACAAACCAATAATACCGATTTGAAACTATGATCGTTTGTTAAACAACTTTTATCCTAAGCTGAATAAAATTCTGAGATTTAAATTTTTATATGGCAAGGTAAAATTATGAGGATTCGCAATTTTAATTTCACTTTATTTGATTTAATTTTTTGTTTAGAGTGAAATTCATCGGTACGTTTTCACCGCAAACAAACTATAGTGTCAACAATGTGCTACATGTGAGGTACAACCGAGCCTGCACTTACTGTGAGAGATTCTTCTTTGTCTCTTGTTTAAAAGGTGCTTGGTGAGGATTACAACAACAGTCTGGGAGGACTTTGATGTGGTTTGCTGTGAAGAGTTGTGTCCCTTAGTTGTGCCAGAATCCTATAACTGGCCCGCCCTGATTGTTTCTGGTATTCAGACATTCCTATTTTTCTGAATCCAATAATATCAGCCGCTTATTGATTGTTATGGTACACAAGTTATCAGTAGTTGTCATGAAAGCATCCTGATTGTAATTAATGGAAGTAGTCTTGAGGGTAATAGAACATTACTGTCTACAATTTAGATAGATGATGCCATTATATATTAGTCAACAGTGTTTATGATTATTCATAGCTATAACTATGGAACATTTGCAGCATATTTCCAATAATAAGAATTCCGATAATGGTACTGATGGTATTTAGTGACAGCAATGTTGTACTCTGCGATATGATATGGCCACGCATTGTGAACAAAGTTATGATGATTGAATCAAGGTGTTGTATTTGAATCAGCATTATCTTCCTACAGCTTATCAATTTGAACAAGTCACACCGAAGGCCTGGGTTCGATTCCCCACATGGGTACAATGTGTGAAGCCCATTTCTGGTGTCCCCCACCGTGATATTGCTGGAATATTGCTAAAAGCGGCGTTAAACCATACTCACTCACTCCCTCATTTAAACAAACCTCCGCAATTGATTTAAAGAACTAATAATATTCTTTCCAAGAAAAATATGTATTTTTTTAATTTGTGTCACAAGAAATTCCTATTGATGTTTCTGTATCAACTTTGAAATTAAAGTGTGCAGATTGAATCATTTTGATCTATCTTACAATTAAGTTAATTTTAACAAGCCTGGCTAACTTTTATGCAGTTGTTATTTTCAATACATGCAATATCAATATCCCCTGGAACCAACACACATGCACCCCACCCCCACCCCACCCCACAATACATATGTTGTATGTTACAATACAATGTAATAGCTCGTACAATACAGAATGCGATGTGTCTTAAACGTGAATGTCAATTCCAATTTCCTCTCACCTCGGCTGTCAGCTTCGTCATTTTTGAGGTGGCCGATTTTGTCTCTGGCATCTCTGGTATGGATTAATAGTTAGAGACATGATGGCTCAGCATTTGTCTGGTCCAATTAGCCCAATTAGACATTGCAGTCTGTCGCAATTAAGTCATTTTCCTGACATATCACAACGTAGATTCAGTCTTCAACTGCATGCGTTGCTGTGGCCTCGAGCACTCGATCAGTTCCTGGGTTTCGCTGAAGTAGTGAATATTGCTACCATGGTGTAGTGGGAAGAGTAGCTGTCCAGAGTGAGTGAGTGAGCCTCACTCGGCAATATTTCAGCTATGTGGCAGCGGCCTGTAAATAATTGAGTCTGGACCAGACAACCCAGTGATCAACAGCATGAGCATCATTCTACCCAGTTTGGATACGATATGTGTCAAGCAAGCCAGCGAGCCTGACCACCGATTCCGTTTGTCGCCTCTTATAATAAGCATGGGTTGCAGGAGATCAATTCTAACCCAGTTCTTTACGGGGCAGCTGTCCAAGAGTTGAATATCAGTGTGTCATGTCTTGCTTGATATGAAATGTTAAGGTACTTGTTGTTTCCCTGCCTTGTTTTAGCATCAATGTTCTGGTTGGCTGATTGGTATACCGTGTCCTGAGTGAGGTATCTGTATTAACATGTAAAGTGACAGCTCAACGTGCTAGTTCAGCAGGGGCGGATGCAGCTTTTTGAGAATGGGGGGTGCACACTTCATTTTCACGAGAGTTTCCATGGTCATTTAATAAACTTTCAGGACAAAAATGGGTGTGTGCACCCCTGTACCCCCCATCTGGATCTCCCTATGGTCAGACAAGTACATGAAAACACAAACTGATACTTTTTATCCCCCTCGGCATGTAATGCCGATGCCTCAACGCCTCGTCTGTCCGTCCATAATCATTTTGTTTCCAGAGCTTAACTCAAAAACTGTTCAATATTTTTCAACAAAAATTGGTAGATATATCAAACAGATCCTTAAGTGGTGCCTTTTGCTATTTGCAGATTTTTGGCATTTTTATTTTTCCCGGTTTCCATGGAAACGATTCAGACTTAGTCTCAAAAAAGAGAGATTGGTTTCATTTCCGGAGCACAACTCGAAAACCGTTCAATATCTTTCAACAAAACGTGGTAGATATATCAAACAGAACCTAAAGTGGTGCCTTTTGCTATTTGCAGGTTTTTGTCAATTTAATTTTTTCTGGTTTCCATGGAAACCTTTTTGACTTAGTTTCAAAAGGGAGGGGTGGGTTTCGTTTCCGGAGCACAACTGGAAAACTTCGTAATATCTTTCAGCAAAACTTGGCAGATTTATGAGTCAAATCTTGAAGTGGTGCCTTTTGCTATTTACACATTTTGGGCATTTATATTTTTCATGATTTCCATGGAAACAATTTGGACTTAGTCTAAAAAGACATCAAGCTGGACTTTAATTAACTGTCAGATGATGATTTGTTCTTTCAAATATGTGGGGGCCGGGGGGATATGTCATCTTCTGATGACTCTTGTTTAAAATGGCTGCCATGGCTACAAAAGTTACAGCACTATCTGATGTCTGTGTTTCTATTCCAGAAACTTTCCGAGCTGCAGCAGAAGCAGGTCCAAACGACATCCTGAAGTTATACAATACGCGTGGAAACCTCATCAACATTTCACCGGCACTGGCGGAAAATACGCCGGACACGCGGTACAAGCTGGAAGTAGTTGCGTCACACTGTACGGGTAAATGGACTTCTCCTTGTTAAACTTCGTTCTTCCTACGTGGCACGATCGGATTCATTGCATGCTACTAGAATGTTTTGAAAAACATATTATTTCCTCATTTTCTTTGTCTCTGTTTCTAAGGATGCTTTGTGAGATGTTTAATTAGGTTATATTTCTTAGAGGTGGTACGAGTTTATTGGTGCTGAAGTGAGAGTGTATTGATGCTGAAGTATTAGGTGTTTTATATTTTGGCCCTTGGTTCAATGTTCTTCTGACCGGTAATGTGGAAAAAACTTAGATACCAGTTACAAGGTTTCTTCTAATGACTATTTGCTTGATTATCCCACTGTTTAAGAAGCATGACGAAGCTTGACCCTGATTGGCCCAGATTATGCTCTATTGATCACTTCATCATCGGGTGGGGTAGCCCAATAGTCATGCTGAAGACCCGGGTTCGACTCCCCACATGGGTACAATGTGTGAAGACCATTTCTGATGTCACCTGCTGTGATATAGCTGGAATATTGATACAAGTGGCGTAAAGTTATGCTCACTCACTCACTCAGTGAACCTTCACTGGTCTCTTTCAGTATCTGTGAATTCAGACTGACCAACTTCTGTGGTTAAATGTATAGAGTGGTGTGACTAGAGTGTGGATGGGTGCTTGTAAGACCTTCTGGCTGCATCATACAAGACATGTTGAAAGATGGTATGTGTCACAAATGTTGTTTTGCCAGATTTTCTGTAATGAAATAAAACGATGACTCTGCGGTATACTGTGTCCAAATTGTAGTGGTGTTCCGATGATCGAAAATAATCGAAAATCGATCGAAAGAAGGATTAAAAATGATTATCGATTGTAAAAAAACATATTTTCGATTAAACTGAATTTTGTCGTTTTAGTATTACACACCTGAATGAAGTAAACTAAGCAATAAATTTGACAAATATTCACGAACAAACATGCGCAAGAAGATTATGCTATCATGTTTTTGTTTGAATGACTGTGCCTTTTTTCGTCAGTGTTTGAATCTGTTATCTAGTATGTAATTAATGTTTTCTGAATCTATAGCCATACTGAATACTGATGTTTGAAGGTGGTTGTGGGATAGCCTAGTGGTCACAATGTTCACTTGTCACACCGAAGACCCGGGTTTGATTCCCCACATGGGTACAGTGTGTGAAGCCCATTCCTGCTGTCCCCGGCTGTGATATTGCTGGAATATTGCTAAAAGCAGTGTAAAACCAACCTCACTCACTCACTTATGTTTGAAGCCCCATATTGGTGTCCATTGGTATGATATTTCTCCACTGTGTCTTCAGGGGCGGTGGGGTAGCCTAGTGGTTAAAGCTCTGGCTCGTCAAGCCGAAGATCCGGGTTCAATTCGCCACATGGGCACAATGTGTGAAGCCCATTTCTGGTTGCCCCTGCTGTGATATTGCTGGAATATTGCTAAAAGCGGCGTAAAACTAAACTCAGTCAGTCCATCAGTCACTGTGTCTTCAAGCAGTGTAGAACCATTCTCTCATCTATCCAACGTTGCTTGTGGTAAGGGGTGACTATTCTTATCATATGTGGGGACTAACAGGATCAATTTCTCTGACTTGCTGACTTGGTTGATTTGTGTCATTGTATCCAAAATATCACTGGTTTCATTATCACTCCCTTGATTATGTACGGAACACCTATTATATGACTAAAATGTCAATGACTGCAGCAGCAAACGAACAAATAAACAAACAAACAAACAAATCCAAATAATCCCAGTGATCTCTCCAGCCAGCTATGAATTATTTTTGGAAACCTTGCATTGATTGTCTCAGCAATGAGTTTTCTCAGTTGTCACATTTTCAACATGGCAACCACGGCGGCCATCTTGAAAAGCCTTTGAAACCATTTCCTGTCTATTTCTTCATGTATCACATGTGTTTATCACCTGATGCTAAACTGTTTAAGCAGAGGATGGTGTAATAAACAGCTTCAGGACTCCACACTCTAGCTGTTGCCATGGCGGCTATACCTATACAGCGAACTTGACCCTTTAATACTCAAGCTCTTGTATTCTGTTCAAATTTTACACAGTGATATTGTTGTGTAGTGTTCACTTCTGTCTTTTTTAAGTGCATGACTTTAATTTCAACCTTGATATCCTTATCCTTCTGAACTGGCATTTTTCCCAGGTCAGCGTGTTGTTTTTGAGTTTGAAATTTGGAAAATATATTTTGTATCTAAGTGAAAATGCAGTTTGTCGAATGACGAGGAACATGTATTCCGAGATCGTTCTTTTATCAGCGATCGTTGTGTGCTTTATCATTTTGCATACATCATGGCTGTCGGGGGGATGTTGACAGATGGCTGCAACTAAGGAAATGGGGCAATTTATCTGTGTTTAATTTTCACTGGTTTCTTGGCTTTTACAAAACATCATTCAGGTGTTTTTCATTCAGGTGTTTTTCATTCAGAATTGATCTAATTCCAAAATGACGGTCCTGATCAGTGGAATAAATCTAAGTTGACATTCCTGATAACAGACAATTTTTGGGTGACATTATGAATCAAATATTTTTATGAGGTGTCTGGTTGTACTGACATGCACAAACACTGCTGATAAGTCTGTTTAATTCCTGCTTTATGGATACAAAATATTTACAAAAATATTAGTCATTCAAAATGCAGTTTCAGTATGAGAAGAGTGGAAAAATACAGATTGGTCTTCTTTCCTGATGTTGGTTTTGAATTTGTTGAAACGAGACTAATGTTTTTGTTGTCTCCAGGTTAAAATTGGTCTTCAGCAACCCATGCTTGTCATAAGATGCTACAAGCAAGGTCAGGTGGTTAGGCTCGCTGACTTGGTTGACACGTGTATGTCATTGTATCCGAACTACTTAGATCAAGGCTCACGGTCTTTGAATGGCATTTAGAAGTGATACACATGAGGATTAGAGAGTTTTTTGGGATGTCATCATCATTCACCTGATGAAGGAGTAAATATATACTCCGAAATGTTGCGTTCCTCATAATAAAGAAGTTCACATCCATAAAAGCTCTCTTTCGCTTAGACCGCCTCCGTGGTGTAGTGGTTAGAGCGTCCGCCCGGAGAGCGGAAGGTCGCTGGTTCGATCCCCGACCGCGTCATACCAAAAGACGTTTAAATATGGTACTTGTTGGTCCCTGTCTGGCGCTCGGCATTAATGGGTACAACAAGGACTGGTTGGCTCGGAGTCAGTATAATGTGTCTGAGTGGGGTATTCATGCTTCACTGCGGCATGGTATCTCAGTGAGCTAGCACTATAAACCCAGCTTCAGTCTGGGCTAGTACAAGCAGCCGCACATACGCATACACACGCATGCACGTGCGTCGTCATATGAGCGAAATATTCTCAAGCACGACGTTAAACCCAATTTCACCTCACCTCTTTCTATTATGCTCATGGTATTGATAACTGGATTGTCTGGTCCAGACTTGATTATTTACAGACTGCTGCCATATAGCTGGAATATTGCTGAGTGTGGCGTTAAACACCAAACAAACAAAGCATTGATGAGATTATGGCAGTAGATGTGTCTCTGGTTGTGACAATGATCGAATGTGCAAGACTGAAAACTTATGGTAAAATGACATGCATTTGTGTCATGTTTTTATTGGTCACAGCAAATGATAACCCTGGGACCACCCACAGCATCGTGACTCAACAAGCATCCTGTGTGTTTTTATCATGAAAAATCTAAACATGTGTTTTCAAACTTCCATATCCTGAAACAACATGATACGTTACAAAATGTTTGATAGCCTTTTAGAATTTACGATTGATTAAAGCAAAATATTTACAGTTGATAGGTTAATGCTGGACAAAATTATTTACTTTACCCTGACTTAATGATAAAATAAAAAATATGTAACAGTTTCCCTTAGAACACACTATTCAGAAAATTTGAATTGTAAAATTATATTTACTTCATGAGTAAATTTTTTATCTTTTTAATTTTTATTCAAATTAACTTAAGATCAACATAAAGCATTTCAGAAACAATTCCACCCACATCTTAGAATATTATTATGAAAGGGGTTATCTGAATATAAAATTCAAAAGTGAATGTAGTTTTATGTAACTGTAAATGTTTTTGATATCTCAAACAAACCGTAGTAAACAGCATATAAAATATGTAAAATAACTACACTAAAATTGGTCTGGCCTAAAATAGGAACGGTAAGCTGTTAACACAATTTGATCTGTCCAACAAATATGGCATGATTGGTCAGTAGTATAAGATGTAAAACTATGTAAAAAATACACTGAAATTGGCCCGGCCTAAAATAAGAATAGTAAGCCATCAACACAAACTTGGTGTGAGTTGTCAGTAGTAAAAAAGCTATGAAAAAATACAGTAAAATTGGCCCGGCCTAAAATAAGAACGGTAAGCCGTCAACACAAACTTGACGTGAGTGGTCAGTCTACCTTTGATGGTCCCCGGGGAAGTTGTCTCGACCGGTGAGGTGATGAGAAAACAGTAGATGACAGAATGTGAAATATCTCCGTTAATCCTGTCTGAGCAGCATGCTAGCTGAGGCCATTAATCTTCCACCGCCTTTCAATGAACAATCCATAAGCAATTCCTGCTATAGCGCCAGACATTGGTCTCTGTACCAAGATGGATGTTTATGGTAAGACCCTGTTAAAACCAGAGGCTCTAATTTCATCACTACTGGCTGGATAGATGGTTTTTTTTGCCAACCTGGAATAACATAAATATTCATTTTGGGAATGTGTCGACTTCAAATGCCTTACCTGAGTTCTTAATTATTTTTGTGGTCATGAGTGTTATTGATTTTCAAATTAAAACTTCCAGATGTATTAGGCGCGGTGGGGTGGCCTAGTGGTTGAAGCGTTCGCTTGTCATGCTGAAGATTCAATTCCTGTTTTCGATTCCCAACATGGGTACAATGTGTGAAGCCCATTTCTGGTGTACCCCGTGATATTGCTGGAGCATTGCCAAAAGCAGCGCAAAACCACACTCACTCACTCTCTCTCATTCATTCACTCACTCACTCACTCACTCACTCACTCACTCACTCACTCACTCACTCACTCCTCACTCACTCACTCACTCACTCACTCACTCACTCACTCACTCACTCACTCACCTCACTCACTCACTCACTCACTCACTCACTCACTCACTCTCCTCCTCCTCACTCCTCACTCACTCACTCACTCACTCACTCACTCACTCACTCACTCACTCACTCACTCACTCACTCACTCACTCACTCACTCACTCACTCACTCACTCACTCACTCACTCACTCCATGCCTACCAATGAAACATTCTCAACCAACCTGACTACTGGAATCAGGAATTTGGCAAAAAATGTCTGCTTTCTACAGCACTCCATTATGCTGTTAGAACATTAAACTCCAAGCAAATTGAAGGTCAATGGTTATTGTAAATAAAGAATGTTTCCATTTGCTTAGTCTCTTTGGAAGAAAACTTTTGCTGTCTTTATCTAGCAAGATTGGAACGTTTCAACTGTTTGATCAAACTGGGTCTAATGAAGAAGATAAATGTCTGAAAATAGTCTGCAAGATGTTCATGATCAAAGCCTGCTTTAAAAGCAGATGAAGGTTTAATGTGTGAAACGTGTGTATGGCGAAAAAGATTTGATGATCGGAAGCATCATCGTTTGGATGAAATATTCATGATTATCGATATGAAAGTTGTGTCTTCAATAGGGAATTATTCTGATGAAGTAAAGTTTCAATATGCCTCAACAGACTTTTAATTGTTGTTGCTGCAGACCAAAAGTGAATGTATTTGTGAAACAAAATGTCCGTAAAATAATCCATGCATAAATGTGTCCCACTTGCCAATGCTGGAAATATGTTGCTTTTTTTAACTCCTTGGGTATTTTCTCAAAGTTATTGTATTTATCGATGGTTGATTGATATTTAGTAACTGATTATCGATCTCTGTGATCAGACTATATCATCAGTTAGCCAGGTATATATGGATTTGAAAGCACTTTTTCTGCGATTATTGACATCACATGGTGGTGTCCTCCCATTTGTGAGAACTCCCATTTGTGAGACACATTAATTAATGGTTCAGTGCACACAGGTGGTGCTTCCCCATCCCTACGATGAAAGTGGGAACAGCCCTGTTGCTGAAGAGTACCCGCAGGAGGCATAGTTCATTAATGTGTTAATTAACACAGAAGACATTGTTCGTTGAAGAGCTAGATTTTTCAAACACGTAAATCTGAGTAGGTAAATTAATTTCTCTTTCAAATGATCACGAAGTTACCTACACAAAGTGTTATTTTTTAAAGCCATTTATCTGAGTAGGTTAATTACTTTATCTTTTAGAGTTTCATTAAGTTACCTCCACAAGATTCAGTTAAATAGCTAATCCATAATTAGCTGGGGTTAATCCATTCTATCAGACAGGGGAGTATGGTGTGTTTTCTTTGGTAATTACCTACTCCACTGTCTCATAACTGGGAGTCTCACAACTGGGAGTTCTCACAAATGGGAGTAGACCCACATGGTTGTCCAGGTGCATATGCCCTTGAAGTTCCATTATTCAGGTCAGTGAACATCACCTGCAGGGCATTTGTCGACAGGTAAACGCTATTTTTCTACGAGATCGGTAGATTCTATTGTTTCCGTTATGTTATAGTAATCTACTGGGGTGAAAACTGTCCACTTAGTGGTTTTGATGTCCGTGAATTAGTGGGGGTGTGATATTGATTTAGCGTGTTGGTCGACAATGATCATATTTCAGCGTTTATTGTTCACGTATGAATGACCAGTGTGTTTTCTGGAGCAGAATGAGGTCTGACGCAAATTGTATTGTGTGTGAGAATGTGTGACCTTGATTGTGGGTAATTCTACCCTGACTTTGTGGATCGTTGTCAATGCTTTGTAGCTGCTGGTACTGATCAAGTGTCATTTAGGATATTTTCCATTCTTCTCAAAATAGATGGTTATAATACTGAGTTATGTGATGCACATAATCTTTTGATGAGATGCATGAGATGCATGAGATGTATTTACTTCGTACTGTGGTGTCATAGATAGAGCGTAAGTCTTAAGTATCATCCCTGACTGTCATATCGAAGTAGATGGGGTAGCCTAGTGGTTGAAGCGTTTGCTCGTCATGCTGAAGCCCTGGGTTTGATTCCCCACATGCATACAATGTGCAAAGAACAGTTCTGGTGTTCCCACCATGATATTGCTGGGATATAGCTAAAAGTTATGTAAAACCTCACTTACTCACTCAACCTATGACTCTCACTCATTCACTCACTCACTCGTTGACTCACTCACTCATTCTCTCACTCACTTGTTGACTCACTCATTGACTCAATCACTCGTAGACTTACTCACTCGTTGAAACAATCACTTGTAGACTCTCAAGTTGAAACAATCACGTGTAGACTCACTCACTCACTTACTCATTGAAACAATCACTTGTAGACTCACTCACTCACTCGTTGAAACAATCACTCGTAGACTCACTCACTGACTCGTTGAAACAATCACTTGTAGACTCGATCACGTATACCAAATGACGTTAAAATGTGGAACTTCTTATTACCCACCTTAGTACTTGCCATTAAGGGGACACACCTGGCCCTGATATCTCAAAGTCTGAGTTTTAACTTAAGTTAGAGTTTTTACTCAAATTTGAAAAAGCGCAGGTAAATGCATTTCCCAGAATAAACTTAAATCAATATTAAACTCAAATTTAGCAGACATTTTGAGTTTGATGGATAGATTACTTAAGTTGTTTGGGCTTTTTTTATTTAAAAAATGCAGTTGAGTTAAAAATTCAGCTGTTTCAAATTGTCAAACTCAGTTTGAAATTTGAGTAAAAACTTAAGTTTGCTTCGAGAAATCGGGGCCTGGACTCTGTATACTGTGTTTAATGATAGGTATCCTTCTTTAACTGTGACATGATGTCTCAGCGGGATATCACGTTTAGGGCAGCTTAGGTCTGGATCAGTACAATCTCCCCCTAACACACAAAGATAACATAAACGTACACGATGCTTTATCAGTGCAGTAATCTTGAAACGTTAACCCCTATTTCACCACACATACGAGCAATCATTATCTTACTCTAAAAAACATAGTCCCACTGAGACAGACTGAAAGTAGTTCCTGCATGAAGTCCTGTTTCACTGCACATGTTTTTTTCTTCTTCTTTTTTACAGAGAATTACAGTGTTTCACCCAGCATAATAAACTGTCATTTTATCATTTCACTGACTCGCTCTGTTTGGAAAGGTATCAGCTTGATAGGGTCGTGGGTATTCAGCTGCTTGTAGTTTCTACACAGCAGTTAAAGTCTGCTGTATGTGGGCCACTTCAGGCTGACCTCCAATATTAAGGTGTAATGCTGTTATGTGACTTAATACCATTCTAAACCTCACTCACTCACACATTTACTTTATATCATTCAATTTGTTTGCAATATATCCCAGCGACACATGGAAATGGTGTGTCTTTTGTCATGATAAGACGTGATGATGATGATGATGATGATGATGATGATGATGATGATGATGATGATGAAGGTGATGAATGTGATGACAATGACAGTGAAGCTGACGATGATAATATGGATTGTTTATGGAAAAGTTGATGAAGGATATGATGAATGTGATGATGAATGTGATGATGATGAAGGTGATGAATGTGATGACAATGACAGTGAAGCTGATGATGATAATATGGATTGGTTTATGGAAAAGTTGATGAAGGATATGATGAATGTGAGGATGATGATGATGATGATGATGATGATGATGATGATGGTGAAGGTGAAGGTGATGAATGTGATGACAATGACAGTGAAGCTGATGATGATATTATGGATTGGTTTATGGAAAAGTTGAAGGATATGATGAATGTGATGATGATGATGATGATGATGATGATGATGATGATGATGAAGGTGAATGTGATGACAATGACAGTGAAGCTGACGATGATAATATGGATTGGTTTATGGAAAAGTTGATGAAGGATATGATGAATGTGATGATGATGATGATGACAATGATGGTATGGAATGGATGATAACGATGATGAAGAATGTGATGATAATAATATTGATGAAGGAATGATGATGATGATGGTGGTGGTGGTGATAGAAACAGTCACTTATATCATATCTCTATCTTTCTATCCCTTTCTCTCCTGTTATGTCTGTTAAATGTTTCTTCTGTTCTTCATATTTTTTGTTTCTTTTTTTGTGTTTATCTTGGAACATGCTGTTTTCATGTTTGCAGGTAAACAAACAACTTTAGTCTCTCACCTTGGTTTTGACATGAACTCGTTAGAGCAAAGGTAAGACAATCTTAATTACTTCTAACCTGTTGGGTAAAAGAAAGTGAACTCTTGAAAACTGCATTTGATAAAACATTTGTAAAAGTTATCCAAAAAGTACCGGGATGGCAACAGTAGCTGAAACAGTGTAACTTAATGTCCAAAACAGACTTATTCCACCAGTATCAAATACACAATATTTTGTTTGTTTCCTTTAAGTCACCATTCAACACATATGTATACTTTCTTTTGTCCTTCAGTATATATGTGCATGCAAAAAACAAAAAGAGATTTCTGTGACAGGATACTTTTAATGCTGTAAATACTGTTATGTACGTTATATAGCTGCCATTACAAAGGATATTTCTCTAACAGATCAGCTCCATGAAAGTTGGACTTTAGTAGTGAGAACTTAACCTGCACACACACTGTAGAAATAATCACCGATTGGGATATTAATATTTCCTACTTGTTTCACTTGAAAGCCTGAAAGTCTTAAACAACATTGATATTTTAAATATTTAAGTTAAGTTTAATATAAGTTAAGTTAAGTTAAGGGTGTCATTGCTTTAAGCATTGGCGTATCTGTGTATATCTTCAACAACTGGAATTTCACATGTTTGCTCCAAAACCGTGACATGCAAATTTGTCTGATGTTTTTGTGGATCCTTGCTTGTTCTCTCAACAGCTTGTTTTCAGGCTGTCATGTTAACAGTGTGTCATAAAGTGACATTCACTCAAGATACAGCATTGAATCCTATTTTCACAACACATACACACGCATGCACGTCGTCATATGAGCGAAATATTCTCCAGCGCCGCGTTCAACCCAATTTCACCTCACCTCACCTATTTTCAGATGCTGTAACTCTAACAAAATGCCAGCAAGTAGTTGACAGGGCGTGAAACGTTTTGAAATTGAATTAACATAAAAACTTGAATTGTAAGAATTTTTGAGTCCCGTAATATGTTTTGTCCTGTATATTCAGTTACTATAGTATGTAGCATGGACTCGTTCACCACCAAGATGTGGAAGAAAAGACATCACCATCATCTCCTCTACAAGATTTTAATTTCAAGAATAATATTGTACAGACACAAACATGAGCATTAGTGAAGATCTGGGTTAGAATAAGTCTTCAGTGACCTATGCTTGCTGTAAGTTGCAATAAATGGAATTGGGTGGTCCGACTCACCGGCTTGGTTGATGTCATTGTATCCCGATTATAATGATTGATGCTTTTAATATCAATCACTGGATTGTCTGGTCCTGACTTGCTTATTTACAGACCATCATCATATAGCAGTGTTAAACAACAAAAAGGAAAACAGGTCAGACATGTTTACCATGATAGAATGGAGTGGATTTGTGCTGCTGTTAGCAATATTGCAGAACAACAAACATGGGCTTCACACATTTTACCAATGTGGAAAATCAAACCTGGGCCTTCGGTGTGATGAGCCAATGCTTTACCACAAGGCTACCCCACCGCTCCAGATATTATGGGATGGAGGATGGAATGGAGGATGACCCAGGATGACCCAGGATGACCAGGGATGACCAGGGATAAGGGCAAACAGACAAGTGATTTCTCAGATGAAACTTCCTGTATTTTTCAACAATGTCATTCATATCAGAACTTATGAACACAAGTGGTATCTCCCAGCTGGAACATGTAAGGTGGTTGTGTTACCCAATGATTTGGCTTCATCTTTTTCTGCCTGGATTTCTAAAGGAAAGAAAACCCACAGAAAACACAAACATACCCTTAATAGTAGACATTTGTGGATGTAGCTGCCTTTGCACTTTGAAGTGACTGTGAAGTACTCATAGCAATATGGCTTCTTTATTTTGGTTTCAGAATATATTCATTTTCTTTTTCCTTTTAAAGTTACGGAAATCAACATGCTTATAAGGACAAACTTTATGGATGAATGACTTCTTTATTCGTTGATGCGATGTTTCGATACAGATTCTTGTATCGTTGCCACTCAAGGAAGTTATCAACATGCTTGTCCAAATGCTTTGCTCACTCTTGCATGGGATTTAAATATCTGGAGGCTGATTATCTGATTATCTGATTAGAATGTTCCCCTATGCAAGCTCCTATCCTTCAATCTCTCTGTGTATTTCAGTAAAATATATGATCTTCATCCGATAACGTTTTCTTATTGCCCTTGTTGACATCCACGTACGAAATAACCCCGCCGATCTGTAGCGACAATTCCCATGTGAATGTATTAACATTTATTTTGATAGAAGTATATAGAAGTAAAGGAATGAGAAGAATGGGGGATTATATTTCTGCATTGATGTTGCCAGGTACACTGACTTTCATCAATAGCAATCTTCCCGATAACTGTATCTCTCCTCTATCGAGTATTGTAATGAAACTCAGGTATCAGTTTCGCTGTGTAGATCTCCATTAATCACTGTGTGATTGTCTCGTGGGGGGTCACTCAAGTACAGATTGGATGGCAAGCTTAAATTCGTCCTTGGTGGAGTTATATATGTTTATTGTTGATGTGTAGGAAATTATTTTGACATCGATCTCTAGTTGATTAATCTTCTGATTTGGGATGATTTTTCAGTAGTGAATGATTCAGACATGAGAATTTTCTGCAGATCCGCCGATTTTCCGGGATTTTTTTTCATTTTGAACGATTTTGAGATCGATGTAAATCTGCAACTAAAGACCCCCAAGACCCCCGGCTAAATTTTCAGTGTTTTCTGTGCTTTGCCATTCTCATGTCTTATGAAATTGTTTTTGTATGAAGTATTTGTCAATCTGTATTATTAGGATCTGTAAAAATGGTGCCCGTGTAGGTGGACCAGTGAGTGATAGCCTGCCATTGAAGTATGATGATACACGATCATCCTGTTTGTACTTTGTGTGAAAGGGCTGCCACTGTGATAAAATGGATACAGTGTGTGCCAAGAGGGTGGAAGATCAGTGGCTCAGTCCCCTGGCCACATCACAGACACACCACAGACACACCACACATGTACCACACCGTTATGCCACACCATGCTAAACCACAAAGACATAACAGGGACAACTGTGGGGTTGAACTGAGGCTATGTTTCTAGTGCTGGTGATTTCATCTCAGTAAATCTGCTTCACCTTAAGCTTTACTCCATTTTTAATCCCTCACTCACTCACTCAGTCACTCACTGCTTTACCTTAGCTTTCCTCCATCTAAAATCCCTTGCTTGTTCCCTCCTTCCTTCACTCACTCACTTGGCCACTAACTCACTCATTCACTCACTTATGCACCAGGGGCGGTGGGGTAGCCTAATGGTTAAAGCGTTGACTCGTCACGCTGAAGACCCGGGTTCGAATCCCCACATGGGCACAATGTGTGAAGCCCATTTCTGGTGTCCCCCGCCGTGATGTTGCTGGAATATTGCTAAAAGCGGCTTAAAACCAAACTCACACACACACTTATGCACCAAAGCCCACTCACTCACTCACTTAACCACTCAACCAACCAACCACTCACCTACTCACACTATCACTCACCCACTCACTCACTTAACCACTCAACCAACCAATCACTCACCTACTCACCCATGTAAACCACTCACTCTATCACCCACTCACCCATCACTCACCCACTCACTCACCCATCCACCATCCACCCACTCACCCACCTACCCACCCAACCCACTCACTCACTTACTCACTCACTCGCCCACCCATCCACCCACCCACTCACTCACTCAGTCACCTAAAAAACTCACCCACCCACTCACTCACTCACTCACTCACCCAACCCACATTCACATGGCAACATGTATGGTAGGCAATGGAGCAACCATTATTTTACCCCGAACTCAGTGGGGCATAGGAGGTACAAGAGCATTGCACTAAGAATCTTTGAAAATGAATTTAATAAACAAATTCCCGTACAATTTTGTTGATGGAGCATCAAAATTGTGCAGACACTGAACCTGCTTGATTGATTAGAAAATTATGATAAAAGAATGGCCTAAAAAAAAAAAGAATCGTCTCTTTTTCAGGTGAGAGATAAATGTAATTTGTTTCCTGCAATTAATCAGTGAGGAGATTGATGGTAGTGTTTATGTGATTATTACTGATAGTGGCTGCTTTTCATCAGATATAATTACTGTTATTAGTTAACTGGCTCTTGCAGCATGGTCAGAAAAGCCATTAATTACAGCATGGGTGTGAAAGGTACAACATGAGATCATCTTTAAGCGCTGTTAATTCAATATATACCGCATCATACATAGTTATAACGACTTGTGAATTAGATGTGATGTTATCATTAAGTCATAACTCAGGCATGTGGTTGTGAGATAATTTGCTAATGGTGTCTTGGGGAATTCAATGCCGAAGAAAGTAACTTTTGTTTCTGTTGTCATATGATGTAAGGATGCAGTGTGAATCTAGTGATTATTGTAATTAGGCCAGACCAATGTTATTTCTTGTTTTACGGATCTGCCGGTCATATTTTTTCAAGAATAAGAAAAAAATAATAAAAATTCCCCGCTCAAAAATAAAATCCAAATGTACATGTGATATAAGTGAAATACTCTTGAAATCATTGTGAAGCTTAAACTCACTCAACTTCCTTTTAGTTGATACAAACAAACCGAAAGAGTTAACATGGAAACTCTTGTGGGTTTTTTCTTTGACTGGTGATTTTTTTATTTTTGCTTTTCCCTCCTGCCTTTAGGTTTTCTGAGGACAAAAACCTGTAAAACAAGAAATGAAATTGGTCAGGGCCCCGTTTCAAAAAGGTCTAGTAAGCCTAAGATCTCGTAACTTTTCTTGTAGCAGTCGTATATCCTGTGAGATATAACCCATGCTTGTCGTAAGAAGCAACTAACGGGATCGGGTGGACAGGCTCGCTGACTTGGTTGACACATGTCATCGGTGAGCATGTGAAATTTTGTACTAGTATTCCAGATAGAAGTGACATGTGCAGTGGATACTCTTTAAAATATACCCGTGAAGATTTGGGATAGAATGAACCTTCAGTAACCCATGCTT